TTAACATGTTTGGGTTTTTGTTAGGTCCATGTCTTAGCTAATTTTATAAGCCACAAGTACATATACAACTTACTTCTTGTGCATTTGGATATCTAATCTTTCAGCAATATTTGTTTGAAAGGCTATCCTTGGGGCTGAAGAGATGGATCAGAGGAAAGAGTACAAACTGCTCTTGCAGATGATTTGAGTTCATTTTCCAGCACCCATGCTGAGATACTCACAAGTGTCTATAACTCAACTCTGTGGGATCCATCGTCCTCCTCTGGTCTCCTCAGGCACCAAGCACCTGCACTCACATGCATAGCTTAGCACCTCTCACAAACACACATGCATACACATAATTTAAAAAGTTAAAATAAATCTTTAAATGTAGACTATTCCTTCAGCCTTGAGTGTCCTGGCACTCTTTCAACCATTCAGTTATTTAATTATTAGATTTAATGACTATTTCCAGACAATTCTATTCCATTTGATGTACATCTGTCCTGCACCAGTACCACACCCTCTTGACTATTATAATGATGTGGTAAGTTCTGACTTAAGAAAGGATGAGCCTTCCAACTTTGTTAGTCTTTCAAAAACAAACTACTTAACTAGTCCAGGTCCTTTCTATTTTCATGTTTGTTCAAAAATATCACCTGTGAGTTTGATAGAATTTCAATAATTGTATATAAATCAAACAGGAATATTTACCTTTTAATAATATTAAATCAATTATTTCATGAGTACAAAATGTCTGCATATTTATATTTTAACCTATTTCAATAGGTTTTTTTTTTTTTTTTTGGTTTTTCGAGACAGGGTTTCTCTGTGGTTTTGGAGCCTGTCCTGGAACTAGCTCTTGTAGACCAGGCTGGTCTCGAACTCACAGAGATCCGCCTGCCTCTGCCTCCCGAGTGCTGGGATTAAAGGCGTGCGCCACCACCGCCCGGCTCTATTTCAATAGTTTTGGAGCTTTCAAAATAAACTCAGTTTTAAAATCATCTTTATTACATTTATCCTCTTTTTTTGTCTTCAAACGTGAAATGCATTTGTTGTAGATAACACATTGCTCTAAGCCACCTGGGCTACACCAAACCTTTTCTCAAAACCAAAACAAAAGAAGACAGGAAAAATCACAATCCAACAACATGTTATTATTATTATCATTATTATTATTTTGGTTTTTAAAGACAGGGTTTCTTTGTGTAGCCCTGGAACTCACTATGTAAACCAGGCTGGCCTCAAACTCACAGAGATCTGCCTGCCTCTGCCTCTGAGTGCTGGGAATAGAGAGCTATACTAGCACCCCGCAGAATCCAATCTCTATTATTATGTGATTGAGTTACTCAATTTGTTGCATTTATTGCAACTGCTAATTAAGTGGGACTTCCATCAGTGATTTGTATTTGTTATTAGAGTTCTTCTATTCTTCCTTTGTGGCTTATTTGGTTAACTGTGTCCCCTTTATGTCACTATACTGAAAATTTATTGTCCAAAAATCTATGTTAAGAAGTGGTACATTTAAGAGATTTGGTCACAAGGGCTCTGTCTTGGGTTGTTTGCTCTTTTGGGACTGAGAATATGTTTTCTTAAAAACAGCAAAATTGTCCCATTTTTTCTCTTTCATGTGGTCTTTCCAAGTGAATTACTGTTGCCTCATTGTGATGCAATCAGAAGATCCTACCTGATTGATCTTTCTGGTGTTGGGACACCCAGAATGTAGAACCAGGAATCAAATGAACTTATAAACTTCCCAGACTGCAATGTTCTCTTCTGGTAGCAATAATGAACCCAGACAGTACCCTTTATAGTTTCTGACGAAAATCAGATCACGTTTCCCTTGGTCCTTCTGGGGTTTTCTCTGCCTTGTCTTAATCCAGTCTGTTAGAATGTCTTTAGGTGTGAATCTCTGTGAGATTTTTTCACATCTTTTTGTTGAACTTCTTGCGACTATACATTATAGTTATTTAATACAATTTTAGATGGTTTTCAATTGTTATTTGCTCCAATATTATTTTAACTACCCTTTCTCATTTTGAGTACGAGTATACTGACACACTTTATGCTGTCCTACAGGTCTTTCGGATTTGGCTGGCTTGTTTTTTTGTTATTTATTTTTAATATGCTTTTCAGACTAGATAACACAGTTGGCCTGTTTTCAAGTTTGCTGTCCCCTTTCTGATTTGAACATCAAATCTGATTTTGAACATCCTTAGTGATGTTTTAAAATTAGTCATCAATTCTAAAATTCTCAATTAGTTCATTTTAAGTAATTTATTGTTTATGTATTGATAGTGTTTAGTGAGACATCCTTCTCAGTCTTGCTTTTTGCTTTGAAGGAATGGTTTCATTTGTTCCTCTAACCATATTTAAACTTGCTTTCCTAGTGCATCTATGTTGTAATAGGAGCGGCAGGCCACTTCCTGCTGCCTGGCTCCCAGCTAGCTTTACCCAAAATAATTACACGGAAACTGCATTCTTTTAAATACTGCCTGGTCCATTAGTTCCAGCCTCTTATTGGCTAACTCTCACATCTCGATTAACCCATTTCTAATAATCTGTGTAGCACCACGAGATGGTGGCTTACCAGGAAAGATCTTAACCTGTGTCTGTGTCAGGTGGGAGAATCATGGCGACTGTCTCACTGCCTTCTTTCTCCCAGAATTCTGTTCTGTCTACTCCGCCTATCTAAGGGCTGGCCTATCAAAGGCCAAGCAATTTCTTTATTAATTAACCAATGAAGGCAACAGATAGATGACACTCCCACATCACATCTAGACTTCTCAGAGATGGTTGCTGTGGGATTCTTGTTTCTTTTGATATGTGGCCGAATTTTATTTTTGTGTGTGCCTCACATTTTGTTGTTGAAAACTGGACATTTAAAGTAATCCGTGATTCCTCTAGGAATCAGAGTCTCTCTCCTCTCTGGTTTGCTTGTTCTGTTTAGTTACATTTTTTTTCTCTGAGACTGGGTATGTCTACGCAGCCTTGGTTATTCTAGAACTCACTGTGTAGACCAGGCTGGCCTTAAACTCACAGAAGTCTTTCTGCCTCTGCCTCTGTGTGCTGGGATTAACTACTCCCAACCCCTGAGCTTACGCTTGAAAGTCTTCTCCAGGTGCCATGAATAGTCCTTTGATTGCTGCTTGCTTATTTCAGTTGCCAGCTAATAGTAACAGAGAGGTTTTCCTTTAATTCCCAGGTCACTAACTTCCCCAGTTGGTGTTGAGGCACTCTGTATATGTTGAGGGGTATTGAATTTTTGGGCAGTGTTATGGTTTGCTTTAGTTGTGAACCTGACACGATCTAGAATCCCCTTAAAGGCAAAGCTCTAGGCATGCTTGCAAGGGATTTTCAAGTTTTCACTGACTGAGGTGGAGTCACCCAACTATGGGAGTACTATTGCATGGAGTGGGTCCCAGACTGGAAAAAGAGAGAGAATATGAACTGAGCATCAGTGATGTTCTCTGTTGCCCGAGTAGACACAGTGTAACTAGCTATCCCCTGTTGCCGTGCCTTCCCTGGTGTCTTAGGGTTTCTATTGCTGTAAAGGGACACCATGACCATGGCAATTCTTATGAAGGAAAAACATTTAATTGGGTTGTCTTACAGTTCAGAGGTTTAGTCCATTATCACCATGGTGGGATATGGCTGTGTACAGACAGACATGGCACTGGAGAAGTGCCTGAGAGTCCTGTATTTTGCAGACATAGGAAGTGAACTGAGATATTGGGTGTGGCGTGAGTCCACCCTCACAGTGACATACTTCATCCAACAAGGCCATACCTGATCCAACAACAGCAACTCCTAATAGTGCTGTTCCCCTTGGGGGGGGGGGGAACCATTTTCTTTCAAATCACCAAACCTGCCATGATGGACTGAACCCCCTGAAACCAAAACAAACAGTCCCTCCTTTGGGTGCTTCTGTAAGGCATTTTGTCACGGCAAAGAGAAGGGTGATGATCTCAGGCAGGCTGCTGACAATTCTACCATAACCCTTACTTCTTGTTTGTGTAGTCTCCAGGAAAGAAAAAGGTGTGACCTTTGAACCCTCTCAGCTCTCTCTGGGGTTTGTTACAAAGCCATGGATTTGCACACGTATCCTGTGGCAAGTGCAAGACCATTTAGATCTCCAGGGACACAGCAGAGCTTTACAGTTTTTCATGATTTCTTGTTCCTTGGATTTGCCTCTTACGGTTCCTTAGTTATTTTTGCGCCAAACATTCTAACCATGTCAAGAAGCGCTGCTGGCCCTTCATGGATAGATTCTCCTGGAGAAATTCTGTGTGCGTGTTCCCTAGAAATACGTGGAAGTTTCTAGGGAAGTACAGGGTAAATACCTGCAATTCCGAGGGCAATGTTTTTGGGGAGGATTCCTAATCCAATTTGCTTCCCTTGGGGTTTGAGGATAATTGTTTTATTGTTTTTGCAAGGATATTCGTTTTCAAGGAAGTAAGGAGAAGAGAATGGGTAAAGTGAAATTAAAATGACACAGAACTCGATGGCATTACCAAGACTCAGCCATTCGTCCCAAGGGTAAACTCCCTTCTAGTTGTTGCAAGACCCATTTCTAGGGTTCTGGAGAGGATGACTTGACGCCTTCCCAGGTGTTCTCATTGCTTCTGGGAAGCAGTGGGTTTTCAAAGGATTATTCTCAGCCCTGCCTGCTGATTTACTTCCTGTGATTCTCATCAAATGCGCTGTGCTAATTAACATAAATTGTTACAGTACCTGGGACACAGTAAATCATATTAGTGAATTTATCTCTAGTTCAGCTGATCTGAGTCTGCTGATCTAGGAATAAAAAGGCTATAGTTTTTCTCATTTATGGGGAAACAATCTTTAACTAGCCCAGATTTTGTAAAACTCAGCAATAGCTCTGGACTTTCATCTCAGTGCGTGTGGGGATCTTTATAGAATCATGAACTCTTTACTTTCCCTTTCATTTCCCACGAAGGCTTTCCCAGTTTACCCAGGATTTCCGGTCTGACTCAAATCTGCCTCCAGAGCTGCTTTCCTGTTTCCAGTCACCTATGCAGAGTTTAATGCTTCCGTTTTCAAGATCTCAAAACTAAAGGGGGAGTGTTGATAAGAATACCAGCCCGCCACACATGCAGGTAGGTGCAATAATAACCTGACTCAGTAGGCTTCTCATATATTATATGTGTGTACTCTGCATGCTTATATACATATGTAGCAACAACAATGATAGAACAAGAGGTCATGAATAGGAGAGGGCCTTGGGACATGAAAAGAGTTGAAGAACAAAGAGATGGGTAGGAATGATGTAAATACAGAATACAAATGTATCAAAGTCTCAAAAACAAACATTTTTAAAAAAATAATATAAATTATGTTACATTAAGTAAAAAATTAGAGAGATCAAGAGTTTTTGCTCATGTTAAGAGCCTAGATATTTGCTGTGGTTCTATTTGGAAAAGTCATTTGCTTTTTTAAATGGTGTATGACACAATTAATATATACAAAGACAAGATAACAAAGAAACATTTATTTGTTCTCTATCTTTGTCCACTTGAGAGGGGAGGCTGGCAGCTATTGTCATGTATTTGGACATCCAACACTTGGAAGTAAAGTTATATTGACTACAGATGCTGAATTTTCAAAACGCATGGGTCCTTAAGAAGTAGAATATTATTTGATGATGACAATAGATGATCTTCAATGCATCTGTCTGCATTTTCCCCAGACCCTGGATCCACATTCACTGTTTCATACTTTCAGATAAAGAAAAAACAAAACACCTAAGTGTTCTCATAGAGATTCAGAAAGACAATTTACACACCATGACAATGGTGTATCACATCTGCTTGGTTACCAGAGTACTGTTTTCTATGTCACTTTTGCATTTGTGTTCTAGCTCTTTCTTTTTTTTTTTTTTAACTGATGAGTTAATATAGGCAGGTTCTAGTCTGCCATGGCATTTTGCCTTTCTTTCAAGATCTGAGAGTTTATTTATTTATTTTTCATATGGGAACTTAAAGACTAGAGAGATTGACATCTGAGTTCTATTCCCAGGACCCACATATTGAAGGAAAAGAATTGACTCTGATCTCCACATGTCCTTAAACACACACACACACTAAACAAACAAAATGTGCCATAGAATGTTGTGGCTTAGAACTACATGTTCTAACTTCTCCCAGGTGAGTATTCATAGGTCTTCGTGTCTTTACTTTCTTCTTGCCTAACTGACTCAAAGCTATTTTTAGATAGGGTAATTGTTAATTCTAATAGACAACTTGACCCAACCTTAAAGCATCTTGAACCATTTGGGAAGAGAGTCTTAATGAAAGATTACATAAATCAAGTTGGTACAGTTATAAAGAATTTTCTTAATGAGATTAATTAAAATGAGAAGATCCACCTTGAGTGTGGGCAGTGCCATTTTATGGTCTGTGCTCTGAAAAAGAGTGAAGGAAGTGATCTGAGCAGGTGTACATGTGAGCTAAATAGGTGCACATGTGAGCTGAACAGATGTTCACGTGAACTGAACAGGTGCACATGTGAGCTGAACAGGTGTCCACGTGAGCTGAGCAGGTGCACATGTGAGTTGAGCAGGTGTACATATGAGCTGAGCAAGTGCATATGTGAGCTGAGCAGATGTACATGTGAGCTTAGCAGGTGTTCATGTGAACTAAGCAGTTGCACATGTGAGCTGAGCAGGTGTTCACATGAGCTGAGCAGGTGTCCATGTGAGCTTAGCAGGTGTTCACATGACCTGAGCAGGTGTCCACATGAGCTGAGCAGTTGCACATCTGAGCTGAGCAGGTGTGCATGCACATACTTTTTTTCTCTGCCCAGTAATGTGGGTGAGTAGCTGCTTTGGTTCCCACCTTGCCTTCCTCACGATTGATGGACTACAGCCTGGAACTGTGAGCTAAAATGGACTTTCTCCTTTAGTCTCCTTTTGGTCAGATTCTTTGTTACAACAACATAAATTAATCCAGGACAGAAGGGGACCTAGGTCAACTTCCAAATGAACACAAGAAAGCCTGTAATTTTGATTTACCGGGAAACTAGAAAGTGGAGATTGCCCACTTACTAGCTGATAAGCTTCCCTCTTTTTGTTTCTAGAATGGATCTTTCACAAGTACCACAGTATCATTTAAATCCTGAGCGTATAGTCTCTAACAGCCACAGAAATTCACTCCAGTGTCTGGAAAGTCTGCTTAAAGAACAGATTTTAAAGCACATGTTTAGTATTTTAGCAAGAAGGCTTTTCTTTTCAAGTGTTAAATAAGCTATAACGACATTCCAAGTTCATGAAATAATCAAACTGATCAAGTTAATGGCAAAACCCTCCAAAATAGTACAAGCAACAAAAGATCTTCCTATAGCCCCAATACTGGAATCAAAATGTGAATTATGGTTTTGTTAGCTGTGCTTGATGCTTGATGGCATTATATGGAAAAGTAATATTCAGTGAATTTTCCCTGAATATTTTGGTTTCTTCTCCATTTACCAAAGTGATGTGTATAAAAAACAGGAGTGGCTTGTCTGTTGTTTTTTGTACTTCCCTATCTCTGGATTTGAAAGGCTGGACTGAGATTTCTCTGGCTTGATATACAATAAAATTATGACAGGTAAGCAAATATATAAGTTTTGCAATTCTAAAAAGAAATCTACAGGGAAAAGCTCTTAAAATTGGATTCGGGGGACACTAGAGCAAATAAATGCAAAACATGTGCTTCATAAACATGGAACAGTGTGATGGATTTCTTTTTTCTTTATGGCATGTGTGCGCATGCGTGCTGGGTGGGATGTGAGCTGGGCCCAGAAAAACAAAGGGAAAAGAAACACAGCGCATTCGTTACTTTCCTTGCTGCTGAGATAAGAAGCAGGGGCTATTGAATGGATGAACAGTTGATTTGGGCTTAGAGACAGCGGGTCCATCATGGCAGGGAAAGTCTGGTGACTGGAGTGACTTGGGCTGTGACGACAGATACTTTCAAGTTCGCTTTCATCTCGATGGGCAGACCATAGAGATCTGGGGTTAGAGTCGGAAATGTGCACACCTTCAAAGTCGACCCCCACACCCTACTTCCGTTATCTAGGACGTGTTCTCAGAGGTTCCGCAACCTCCCAAAACACCGCCACTAGCTAGGATCCGTATGTTCAAACCCATGAGCCTGTGGGGGATATTTCTGAGTCAAACCTGAACAGAAAGGGTTTAAGTACAGTGATTTGGATGATTATTGTTTTATGAGCTAGGGAAACATTCGGTGGTCAGCACCAACAGCTCCTATGACCATTTACAGAATGCCTCTGTGAAATGTAGGGTGAGTTTAACAATTTCAGTGTATATAGCATACAGTAGCTCATACTATAGATGCCAATTAAATATTAGAAACAAGTGACATGAAAAGGATCATCACATACTGATGAACACTGGGAACGCATATATTTACAGAGCACCCTAGACTGTTGCGGAGTTAGACATACTGGGATCCACCCCACTGCCTTGAGGAGTCTGGCCTGTTTGTACAGAAGAATCATAAATGAGCTCATCTGTTGTATTCTTAAAGCTATAACATTAGACTCATTGCCCCAAACTGTAGAAAAGGAGATTTCTTTTTTCCTACCCAGCAAACACTGGAGGAGAGATTTGCTCCAGGGATTAGATGGCAGCCAAAGTCCTTGGAGGGACTCTCAGGCTTGTGTGATAGTTTCCCAAGCTGTTATAGTCATCAGGTCAGCATTTGTACCCTAGCTTGGTAGTAAGTTGAACTCCCTTGATGAATAAAGATGTTTGGGGGCAAAAAGTCTAAGGACTGTGTGGACATTCATCACATTCTGAAAATAGACATTTTATGGTTCCTTGGTTTGGAGTGATAGCTCCCATTAGTGAGATAAAGTTGCCGAAAGCCACGGCAGAGAAAAACATTTAGCATTGCCTGGGTGGCCCCAAGTGTTAGACCCTTTTACCTGGCCGGCCAGACTGGCTGCTTCCTTTCACCTTTTACCTCCTAAACTAGTTAATTCATCATTCCAAATTTCATAGCCCGCTTGTGGGGAATTGCTGGATGAAGGAGCAAAATAGATATCACTGAAATAAATATGTATGTCAACAAGTGCTTAGATTCTTGAATCTTTTTTTTTCTCATGACTCCATAATGAAGTCCAGATCTATACCTGATACATAGCTGAGGATGTAAAAGATCTTTAAATTCTCCCACATCATGAGAGAATATTCTGGGCTGCTGGAAATGCTTTATGTTTTGCTTTGGGCATTGGACATGCTGGTATATATGGGTGCTAAACTTTATCCAATGAGACATTTGAGAGTTTTACGTTTCACTGTGTGTATTTTTTTGCTGCTGTTAATAACATACAGCATCGACTGTATCTCTTGAAAATGTCTGCTGCATGTTAAAGGTGATGCTTAGAGGATGGGGTGCAAAACTCAGTGATAAAGCCCACTGCCTGGATAAGCCCTGGCTTAGACTTCAGCATTGCAAACACACACACTGGGGACTGGGACTGCTGAATGACTTCCTTAGGGTTATAGTCTATCTAGTGTTTAGGACTGTGATGAAAATGGAAGCTCTAGAATTTGAGTTCAACACCCAGTGTCCCCAAACACATTGCTGAATTTTTTTTCCCCATAACACTGGAAATCATTTTGTTAATCTCCCAAATAAGCCATCTCCCAGTCTTTAAACAAAATTTCACCCTATTTATTTGTTGTTTGTTTGCTTTGTGCATGTTATGTGCGTGTGTGCACGAGCCGCAGCAGGTGTGTGTGTGTGTGCGTGCGCTGCAGCATATGCATGATATGTGCATGTGTGCACACACCGCAGCAGGTGCATGTGTGCGCGCTGCAGCAGGTGCATGTGGAGGTCAGAGGACCACTCGCGCGAGTCAATTCTCTTCTTCTACCACGGGGCTCCCAGGGACCATACCCAAGCTTTATCAGTCTTGGCGGTAGGTGCTCCTCTCTGGGAGCCATCTCACTCACCCATCATCTCTGGTGGTCCTCTGATGTGATTTCCTTGCTCATAGAATGTGAGCACTTTGAAATGGACATTCATGGTCAGTATCTATGGAGTCATCTAAGGTTAAAAATAGTTTTGTGCGAAACCCCAACCAGTTTATT